TTTTTAAAAAAACACATTATTTTTCACATATTTACCTTTATTCCACACCGTTCTGTCCCTTCTCTGAGAAACAGGCTGATCTTTTCCTGTTTTTATGAAGCCCCGCCCTCAGAAGTAGGCGATGGGCTCTGATTGGTTAGCTAGCCCAGTGTGTTGTGATTGGCTAAACCACCTCTAGTGCGCGTCTAAACGTCTCGCCCCTCACCTCGGCGGCATGTGCTCCGGTTGTATTGTAAACAAAGGCGTAGTTAATATCGTTTATCAGTTTGAGCCCGATTGAGAAGCAGAGGATATTATTGAAGAGGATCATGCAGAACCTGCTTTTAATGGTAGGCCTATGTTTTTTGTTTGTTGTTGTCTCATACTTTTAGATACGCTGTTATTTGTAAATGCTACTGCTTATAATATACGTTTTTATCCTGATTAAAGCTTTAATACAGTACGGCAACTGCATGCACGTCCATGTTTAACGCTTCTCATAGCCATGTGAAAATAAGTGTATAAATGGAACAGTTCATTGTTGGAGCTGAGCTGATGATCTGATTGAGAGAGATAGATGCAGAGCAGGGGGATGCGAGGAACAGTATTAAGAACCGCTGCTTTAGAACATTGATTTTGAAACTTGTGAATCCATTAGAATCGTTAGAAGACAGAATCGCGATTCATATATGAATAGATTTTTACGTGCACCTCTAGTTTTCTCTTCCTCTTCTCTAAAGCAGCGCAGCACGGCCTCGCCCCCTTTGCTGCCGTTTCCTGAGGGCGGGGTTTATCTGGGTTTGTTACGTCACGAACCCGCCACGTTTTTGTAGGCATTAAACTGCCAGAATTTTAAAAGATGATATCTCTGTTTGCATTGAACTTTCAGCTTCGTAACTTTGCAGATATTGTTTATGCTCAAACAGCAACATTACACACTAACTAACTAACGTTATAAAAGTGAAATCGCTTTGAACCACCCCTTTAACAAGCAGTGATGTTAAGTCATGTTTTTTATTGAATGCAGATGCCTAGTCATTGATTGCCCAGGGCACTTATTGCATATAAAATGCATACATGTAGCATATACACTATTGTTTAAAAGTTTGGGGTTGGTAAGATTTTTAAAATAAAGTACAGTAAAGACTGTAATATTGAAGTATTATTACCATTTATATTTTGTAAAACGTATTCCATTCCTGTGATGGCAAAGCTGAATTTTCAGCAGTCATTAATCCAGTCTTCAGTGTCACAAGATCCTTCAGAAATCCTTCTAATATGCTGATTTGCTGCTCAAGAAACATTTCCTGTTATTATCAATGTTGAAAACAGTTATGCTGCTTAATATTTTTGTGAAAACTGAAACTGATGTTTTTCAGGGTCGATAGAAAGGAATCGAACAGTATTTATTTGAAATTAAAAAAAATTCTACATAGAATGTAGAATTATTTACTGTCTTTTTTTATACATTGTGTGCATCCTTGCTAAATGAAAGTATTAATTTCTAAAAATAAAAACCTTACTGACCCTGAACGTTTGAAAAGTAGAATACATGTTTGGATGAACTATTTCTTTAAATGGAACAGGATGATTTAAAACCCTTTTCCCTCCTCTCACAGCGCCCAGCAAGCCAGCAGAAGAAAATGGGTTGCAAGTGAAACGCCGGAAAGTCACAAGAGAAATGGAGGGGAAATATATCATAAACATGCCAAAAGGCACAACAGCTCGCACTCGGCGCATCCTGGCACAGCAGGCAAAGAAAGGTGCCCTGAGATAGTATATTTTGTTGAGTCTTTAAGCTAATATGATATTGCAGTAATTTGAACTGTTGAATTAGAACCACCTAACTAATAAATTTAAATTGATACAGATAAGATTGATCTTATAATCTTCCCTACTTTGCCACAGCTAAGGTTTTAAAGCGTACTTCAGTGTTTGATAGACTTGGGGCAGAGTCAAAGGGAGACACCACCTCAGCCGATAAGGTGAGAAATTGTATTGTATTGATTTTGTCCATCAGATAAACAAGACCGCAAAAACTCAGACACTAAGAATTGTTTTCTCTTTATTACACACATTATCATTTAGTGACTCTAACACTACTGTAACATTCAAATTAGTGCATTGAGTATCATAAACCAGCAATGAACCATTTTTAGGTCATTGATTAATCTAGGTTAATGTTAATTCCAAAATATGCTGTAGTTCATTGTTAAAGGGATAGTTCACCCAAAAATGAAAATTACCTAATGATTTACTCACCCTCAAGCCATCCTAGGTGTATATGACTTTCTTCTTTCAGACGAATGCAATTGGAGTTATATTTTAAAATGTCCTGGCTTTTCCAAGCTGTATAATGGCAGTGAATGGGTGTTGAGATTTTGAAGCAAAATAAAGTGCA